GCCGCTCACGAAAAATTTGCTCGTGAGATTTTTAAAAAAATTTGCTCACAAAAATTTTTGCTCGTGAAAAATTTGGTGAGATTTTGAACACTACTTTTTATAAAGTGTATTTTTCCATTATTGTTACGTTATTCGTTCTTAAAGTGTAAACTTTAAGGCAAAAAGAGGCATGAAAAACTAATTAAAATAAGTTTTTCCATATGTAAAGAATATTACAGAATAAAATTTCAACGGTAATTTAAAATTTAAATTTTTGTAAGCGCTTCAAGCTTAGTCGAAAATATGTAAAATTTCCACCGATTGACACAGTTTTTGACAAATTTTAGCTTAATTAAAGCATTTCTGCTGTTTTAAGTCAAAGGTTTGTTAAATTTGTGAATTCAAACATTTTTTGGGTAGAGACACAAATCAGAAATGAGTGTTTAGTGAAATATTTAACAAATTAAAGTACATTTTGTAAATTCCACCGATTGACAGTAAAAAAGTTAAAATATCTCCTCATACAGCCATTTATTGCAAACAAGTACTATTCATAATGATAAACATTCCGTTTTTAGAACATTCACTCGTAGAATTGCCCTTAACGTATGTTTTCATTATTATAATTTTTTTCTTAAAATTGACAAGACAATAAGACATCGTCAAGACAATAAGAAATCGTCAAGACAATTCTTCTGTAGTTTGTCAGTTAAAAAAGTCTATATAAATCCAATTTGTATCAAATATTCATACTATGTGCTTACTTGTGTGTGAACGATGAGTAATTGTTCAAATGTGAAGAAAATAACACAACATATGAAATGTTTTATGATGGCTATAAGTGCTGATCCTTAAAGAACCTAAAATATATGGCAATTTTAAAAACGAATTAGTAAAATAAAAATAAATTTAATTCTTAATTAAGATTTGCTGTTTAAATTAAAGTTTCATGATATCAAATTCACTTTCTCTGATGGAAATTAGTCAGAAAAACTTTCAAAAAGGCTCACGTAAAGCCTACGTTACGTAAAATGATTAAGTAAAATCACATAACATTAAGTACTATGTTCCGTTCGCTCTTTCTCGATGTAAGTTAAAGATGGAAGTCGATGGACAGGTAAGAGAGAAGCTGATGCAAGATGAAGGAGGGATCAAACTGAGAAAGCAAATTTTTTGATGGTTCTTCTTTCATAGTTAATCATATCAAGTTTAATTTCAACCAAGGAAATGAATCAATCGTGTTTTCATTCCATTACTGCTCACATTTCAGGCTTTGAATCAGAACAGTCCGAGATAGAGGCAAAAACGTTCTTTACCACACACCTGAGCATGAAAAAGAACCACAATTTAGGGTTAGGGTTAGACGCTTGTAATTAAGCTTCTTTTTATTACAACCCAAATCATCAGAGGCTCATTTTTCACATTAAACTACACGATACGTCATTGGACCTGATGTAAGTCTAATGCTGTGTGTGAGAACAGGCATCTAGACAAAAAATTGCAAGTCTCATTTACGAGCAAGCAATCAATGTCCTTGATGCCACTCTACATCAAGGATGAACCAATCAATAGCCACGATAGTAAGTCTCACAGGCAGAAACACATGACTCATAGGCTCGATTTACAAAAAAAAAACAAAGAACAGAAAAGCTTTTTAAAAAAAGGGTCAAAAGACTTTGCTCCCTCAAGTTTTACCCCTCCTCATCTTGCATCGACCCCCCTCTGACCTATTCAACGACTCCCACTCTTAATTTACATCAACAAAGGCTGACGAAATGTAAAACTCAATGCAATGCGTTTTTAAGTAATCATTTCACGTATTGCAAGCATTACGTACGCAAATGTAGAAAGTCAAATGGCTGGTTTCATTAAAGAAAAGGAATTTGAGGACTATTTATTAGTATACTTAGCTTTTTCTTCGTTGTCACTAGCCTCTTGCTTCTTTAATTGTGTCCTGGTTCCTTCAAGCTTCATCAATCTCACTTTCACTTCAATTTTACAGCTTCTTGAATTTAATTTTCTTAACTTTCAATGTTCACTCAGAAAATTTTTCGTTTTTTTCTTCACTTTTAATTTTTTCATCACTTTTGGCTTATTTTCACTGTTGCTTCCATTTTAGCACTTCACTATCACTTTTATCTTGAACTCCACTTCTTTTTAAGCATTAATAATGTCAAGTTCCAATTTATTTGCACCGATTTGCAACAATATTTAAAAACACGTCTTTAAAGAATTAAACTGAAGAAAATTGTGAGAAAATTGAAAGTCAAAGGTTGCTGAGAAATTTGATCTTTTTTGACTGATTGTGGTTTCACATTTTTGCGTTAATTAAGGGTGTATTCAGCTCGAAAATTATCAAAAATATATAGTATTAATTCAAAATTTTAAAAGCTTTTTATTTAGGTTTTTAAATCAAATTTAAATTCTATTTGATTTGATTGTCAAATTGATTCTTTTGACAATAATTTCCGTTTGAAATTCAATTCTTTTTGGTTTTAGAACAATTCTTAAAGTACGATTTTAACTGGTCTAGCAATCTAGTGCGATTTTTTGAGACAATATTATTGGAGATTGAAAAGTTACGTTCAGCTCTTGTAGATGTTGGTAAATTCCAGAAATATTAATTTCAAGCACGTTTTTTTATTTTGGAAAAATTACTTTAATCCAATGTCAATTAAGTTTATTATTTTATGGACATCATACATTTAAAAAATATTTTTAAATACTTTTTCTCTTCGTTTATCATAAATATATATTTTTGATTTAAAAAACATCAAATTTGAGTTTAATATTTCAACTCTTAAATTCCTTAACGTATGTTTTCATTATTATAATTTTTTTCTTTAAATTGTAGTTTTTTTCATGGAAAATACAAAATAAAAAAAAACTAATTTGAATTGTCGATTTTTTTTTGGTATGAAAACGGGAATTTCGGGAATATTCCCGACAGATTTTCGGGAAACGGGAACGGGAACGGGATTCCCCCCGATTAGAACCCCTATTTCAGACAAAGTGCTTTAAAGTAATATTGGAAATCCTCAACGAAAAAAAATATTTCCATTAAATTTAATCTATTGAATTCATTCGAGAATAAAGCAACCCACAAAATGTAATTTACTTTCTATAAATATATGCATTAAATATCAATTTATGGTTTGGATTTTACATCATTATAATTTTTTGGTTATTCACTGGTTGTGATTATGTTTGAGTTTGAAACGTAACCAGAAATGGTGGGTTTGATAGGGCTTAAACTGGTTCATGACTGGTCATGTAATTGGTTTGAGTTGGTGAATCTGAGGTTTTATGACAGCTCAAACATGAATTGAATCCGTTTTGTCCAAATTTGTACAGAGAGATAAAATAATCTAATTTTTCATGTCACATCATTAATAAATTAACTCTTTTACAAACAATTAAATTTTTATTATTAAGGTTTAATATAGAAAACAATTGAATAATGTTCCGGACTTACATAAAGAGCTAGGAAAATTCAACAAGAGTTGATGTAAACTTTCCATTTTAGGAATTCAACAAAAGAAAATCAGCATCAGAATCCACACATTTTCTTGTTTTAATAATAGTCCAATTTCGTTTCACACTTGTTGGGTTTCTGATGGATTTATTTTTTTTCTTTTTGATATTTTCGTCGAAAAAAACGTTTTTCTCACTTCAGTGAAGTTTTCTCAAATAATTTTACATCAAAAGAATTTCCGTTGAAAACTTCAGCAAAAAGTTTTCGTTAATAAAATTTTTCTGGATTCTTTACTTTGCTTTTATACAGAATATGAAAATGGTTTTGTAGGTTTTCGTAGCAACCTAATTTGAGCATATAACATTTTGGAGTAGAAAGGAATTTTATATCTCAGATTTCTTTAAAGTGAAGCTGTTGAAAATAATAAATTACCAGGGGTGGTGAACGATCCTTAATTTTGCGTTCAAAAATTAAAAGGTATCTTTCCCGTTAAATTTCTAAACGCACTCCATATTTTTTTTTTGGAAAATTCACATTTTATCAATTAAAGAATGGTCTTAACTGCATCCAGAAGACTAAATCGTAATAATTAAAGCATGATCAAGCTACTAATCATATTCTAAACAAAGAATTCGTTGTTATTAAGTCAATTTTTTGAAGAAACAAATTAAATGTTTATTTTTGGAAGATGTTTGATACTAATGTTAGCAAAGAGAACAGAGTCCGTTACAATTTCGTTAAAATTTCAAAATAAGAAAGTCCGTTTTTTTTATTTTTTTTTAAACTAGCTGATTTTGAAGCATAAACATTTAAGGAATGCAATTTCATCACAGTGATTATCTTAATCATAAAAACTGATAAAAACTAGTAGGAATGTTCACTAAAATTACAAAATGCTCAAAAAATAATAATTCACAACGAATTTTTTTAAAAATAAGAACTTCGAAGATTCGATTTTCGAAAAATAAGAACCTTAAAAATTCGAAGTTCGAATAATAAGAACTCAAAAATTTCTGTTTGCTAGCATTGAGTTTGATAGTGTTAGTATTGATTCAAATTTTGTAAAATTTAACGGCAAAATTACTGTAACCACGCCTGAAATAAATTACAATTTTTGTTTGATATAAAAGCATGGCTAGAACCACAAAGGGCAAATTTATCTACACTTCAACAGCTGCATGCTTAACATAATATTTTTGTGGTCTGCTATTTACGAAAAATACAAAAATTTCACTAAAGTCCTTTTGATTTTTCGCATGGCTTATTTTTTGTCTTCGATAACTGACATGCTTGTAAGCACCACAACAATTTTGTTTTATAAATTATTTAAATATGAATGAAAAATGAACAAAAAAAAAACTTTTTCAATTAAACTTTTGGATGGATTTTTGATTATTTTGATTATAAAACCATAACTGACGTACAACATTGCACATTTTGGGGGAACAATAATAATGTTATGTAAATAAGGAAATGTCGAAAGTGGAAAATTAGATAAAACCACATTGACATATCCCAAAAAATTAAATGATTTATAGCTATTTACCTGATTACAAATTGCTTTCTAATCCATATGGCGAACTCTTCAATGCGTAGGTCGGAATTAACTTGAAGCTGGATTTTATGACTTAAATCGATTGTAAAATGATTTGAAAATTTATTTACACTAAACTCAGATTTCACTTAAAATTTATGTTCTGTTGATATTTTAATCACTAACAATTTTAAGTTCATTTCACTTCCAATTACACAAAGTCTGTTTATACATTTCCAATTGCACATGGTATTTCGATTGTTTATAAAAATGTTTTTTGTTTATGAAAAATTTCTTTCAACTTTAAGGTTAATTAAGTGCTTAAAACTTGGACTTTATTCGCATATCTATTAACTGTCCACCTACATTATTTCTAAATTCAAAATATTTTCCTTTTCGTATTTTTTTTTCTTCAATATTTTTCAACCTTAACAGTCGAGCTTTTCTTAAACAACTGACTTATCCACGGCACACACATCAAGCTTTTGTTGATTACTAAAAGTCTTCAAATATATTTTTTTTTGTACACAAAAATAATATGTTTTTTGCCGAAAAATGAGAAAAGAGAGTTCGAAAAAAGAAATATTCGCGCAATTTTTCTCAATGCTCTCTGAGAGTCATGGGAATAAGCTCTCTCATTGTTTTGAGGACTGAAAGATAATATTTACATCTTTTGTTTTACAGCTATTGTATTGAGCTTTTGTCTGACTAGTTTTTCTGTGTTTAATGCGATAATGACAATGCTCCTGCATCCTGTAACGAATACATGGAGTTTATTTGCATTTATCATCAATGTTTAACAGAGTTGGATTATGTTAAGCAGTTATTTTTGAGGTTTTGAATTTTAAAAGCTTTAAAGTTGTTTGCTGATACAAACAATTCATGTTCGACAGACTTATCGAAAGTCTAGGAGTTTTATAATATTCAAGTTCGAAAAATTCAAATTTCAAAAAACCGTTATAAATTTGAGTGCTTTTTTCAGTTAATTGCTCATTACATGAAAGTTTCAGATACATTATGCTTATTAGTAACCGAATTTTCGAAATCACGGTGTTAAATTTCGAATTTGGTACGGCAAACAGACAAATAAGGTCAAAATCCTTGAATTGCTCGTATCAGGTTATTTGTTTTACAGTTTGCGATCTAATGAAATCAAAAGCAGATGCGAGCAATTCAGAAATGGTTTTGAACTGATTAAATTTATTTAAGTGATTTAAAATTTTTCAAAATTTGATTAAAAATGAATCTCATCAAAATTGTTTCAAAAATCCTCAAAATTAATCAATAAATCTAATTCCTTGAATTCAGCTTTAAAAAATTTAAAAAGCTTTGTTCAAATATGTATCAGCAATCTTAACAATTGAATATGTTGGTATTCTTAAATGTAGCCTTGAATCGAACATTTTGGTATTTTTCAAATCAATTCAAGGAATGCTCAGCTTTAAACAGTTCCGTAAGAGCTTTTACATCACTTTATTGTAATCTTCTTTGCGAAGAACTATTGAATTTTAAAGTATTTAATACGCTCTAGTTGCTTTTATACAAATGTATTATTGCAAAACTTTAAAGTATTCTTTGCTTTAAGTTACAGCTTCAGCTTTTTACATGCTTGCTAACAAATTGTATAACATGAAACTGTTCACTTATTCAGTATATTTTGTCAAACAAACTTTTTCTTTATTATTAGATGGAAAAAAATGAACTTAACGATGTGATGATGGTTAGCAGACTTTCCAGATGTGCCACAACAAACCAACAAAACCAATTGCTCAACAAAAAACAAATCTTTGCGTGCAAGAAATCTCAAGAAAATCTTAGATTCGATATGGGCTTTAGATTAAACCATTTGGGCATCATAAATTACAGCATTAAGAATTCAGAGGCTTGGATCTACAAAAAAAAGCCAAAATTCTAATATTATTTTTTGTTGAATGGCACATGGTCTCAAACGAATAATTTATTACAGTTCTTGACATGCTACATTGTCTAAATAAGTCAAGTATTTGTTAAAGTCAAAGAAAATTAAATTCAAGAATGAATTGTTAACAAAAGACACAAAAAATGATGACAAAAGCCACCTCTGAAGGAGGTCTCATTGATGTGGAGATGAGGAAACATTTAAAAGAGCTTCCACAAGATTATTGTGAAATTAAAAGCAAAGATAGATGAGCAGATGGAGATAAGCAAAACAAAAGACATTTAAAATGTGCAAACAAATAAAATGGTTGTGTTTATGGCTTCTGTAAAGTTTTATCACATTCCAATGAAGAAAATGAAAACAATTCCAAATAGTATATCCATTAAGGATTCAAAAATAAATTTTAGGAATGAAAAATGATATTCGAACATCTAAAACAGTTTGAAATTTTCCATTGCAGCTAAAGGTCATGATCATAAGTCACCCAAGGGCTTTCTTCATCCTCGTGTGCGTCCGACAAATTCATTTGGAGATAAGACAGAAGAATGATTTGTTTTTAAGGATGAAATAAATGAATCAATTTATATTCATTTGAAATGTACAGAAAAAATTTAAATTTTATGTCTTAAGAAAAAAAGGAGGATGAAATTGACTGAAAGGTACGTGATTGATAAATGATAAAATTAAATTTATAAAAAATTGATATTTTGTCAGTCAGTATGAATATTGATGATTTTTATGGATTAGATTTCAAGATTTGAAGCTTGTTATGTTGGCACTGATTTGCTTTGATTACAGGTTTTATTCGATTTTCTGAACAAAAAAAAAAGGATATGAAATTCAATTCTAAGATCAGAAGAACACGTGAATTTGCCAAATTGGAGGAGAGTTGTTCGTATATTAAGTCCCAAAAGGATGGGCTTTAGTGTTACTTAAAGCTTTACGACAAAACTTTTAAATTGCTTCAAAAAGGAGTATCATCTTCGTCCAAAGCTAGTTCATGAAAACTTTAACTGAATTATATTAGAAGAATCTCATTTGCTTTTACTACCCACGTAACCATAAGTCGACGAATGGAAGATTTTATGTATTACATCAAAATCTTCCATGTATGTTCCATATGTACATTCCATGTATCGTACATTGGACATTATGCTAATATGAAAAGGGACGATTTTTAGTCGATTTTACGTCGATTTCACGTCGATTTTTTTTTTGAACCAAAATCAAATTTTTTTTGACCGTTACAATATAAAAACCGATTAACGGAAAAATTTTGAATTTTTTTTACATGAAAATATTTTTTATTAATTATACTATAATTTGTAGACAAAATCCAAAAAAAAATTAATTAAGGATTTTGTCTTTGAAAAAAAGAGTCGAAGTCTTCATTTAGATGAATAATTCGCTTGTAATTAATTTAATTAATTAATCACACTTTGTATGAAAATTTGGCTGTGCGTTATATAAGTGATTTCTGATTGCACTTGTGAAGTATATAGCGGCTCAAGAAAAACGACGTGTAATGGATGAAAAATCGACGTCTATTGGATCATCCAAAAAATTGTACATTTAGGTCGATTTTTTCATTGACGGCGATTTTGGTTACGTGGGTAGCTTTGGCTTTATCACTCATATCAGCAACAAAATCTCATTCACAACCATCCTGATATCAAAACTTCTTTTCCTACGATGTTGTCGCAGATTTTTCTTTCATGTTTAATAAAACAACTTTTGGAACTGATATGAGATTCTCATGGCAATTATAGCGCTTTATTATTCTATCACAAAATATAATCGGAAATGAAATAGTTCGAAAAATATTTGTTCTGTACAAAAACTGATATTTCAATTAATATTTTAAACTTCTTGTTCAACATCAGCAGCGTTTGTGTCAGGATATTAAACTATTTATGAAGACTATGTATGAACAACACAAGCTCTAATTTATTGTAACAGTGATGAACTATTATTGTTATGGTTAAATGCTATAGATCCTGCTAATACTACTAGTACAGCACTAATGCTCGAATATCACAAGTCGGCTAATCGAATAGTAATCCGGCTCCAAGTCCGCATGACTCTAGCATAAATTTCTGGAAAACTCCCTATTTTTGCGATTTTTAATTTTTTTTCAAGGATGTTCTATGGTACACCAGTGTGCCACGACACACAGTTTGGACAGCACTGCTCTAGCATGATGTTGGCTTCGATTTAAATCCAGCACCATATCAGAGTCACACCGGCTTGGTAACAGATTTCTGAATGATTAACCGACTTGTGTAATTCAGGCATTTATACTGTACTTCCTCCTAATATTTAAAGATCATCTCACATTTGTTAACCTAAAAAACAGTTTTTGTTCTGTTTAGCCATGTCATGTCTAATGGACTGCTGTTTACTCTAGCAGGACTAAAAATCAGAACATTTAATGGTTTGAATGATCTTGAAGTATCCAACATTCTTTGTGGTTTTGATCGCTTCTGTTCAGTTAATGGCTTTAAATCTGAATACGTTGCCGGAAGCGCTCAAAATTGAAATTCATTTAAAGGTTAAAATAATTTTAAAAATAAATGAAAATGTTTAAAAACAAGTCAATTAAGGAAGTTTTTTTATACACAAATAATTTCTCATGGTAGATTTATTTTCCTCAGAACTCATAACCTTTTCATTATCGTAACTTTTTCTTGACTTGTTTAAATAAATTATTCAATCATGCCTGTTCTACTTTTTCAATATTTATGAATACTTTCTCGAGTGATGAGCTGAATAAAGTTCTCGGAAATGTTTTCTTGCTGCGTGCCTTTTTAAACTTTGATCAACTTTTTAGTGTAATCAGGCAAGACTTTATAATTTTTATCAACAAAGAAAATACACCAAGGAAGATATGAACCCTTAAAAACCACTCCTAGAGACGCCCCTGGAAAGGATACAAAATATTCTTTAAAAGCATACCCAAAAAGCTTTTAAAAGAATCTTTTCCCCAGAAAATATCTTTTTTTTGGGGCTAAATCAATTCACACTTCATGTTCGATGAATTCTTAATTTTATTAAATTTAGCTACTTTTTCTATCCTCACGTAAATTCAATAAAGTTATAACAATCGATATTTTCTTTCCCACATCGAGCGACATTCTTTGTTATTCTATTCAACATCTGACAAAAGATTCATATTGTTTGAGATTTAAAAGAAAAGTCACATTTTGTTGAGAGGAAAATTTCATAAAAGTAATGCACAGTAAAGAGGGAGCAGCAAGTTATGGTAAAAAATGTGACATGAAACTTTTTCTATTATTCTTAACTACTTTTTCATTCGCAC